TTTCCTTCAAGGTTGGGATCTTTTACTGAAAATAATAAAAACGGCAGCGGGAAAAGGCTCAAATACGTGAGAAACCCGGAGGGTTGGCAGTTAACGTTACTAACTACACCTTTGAAACACATAGCAGCTAGTTAAAAGTACATTGTATGCGTGAGTGGTTGTTAGCATTAGCGGTTAGCAGTTACTAAACTAGCAGGTTCCAGAGCTCGTCTGATCACAGCTTAGCTTCGTACGGATTACTGTGTTTCCACTGTTTGCTGGATCCAATGCTGGATCAGATGGATCCAAATTATCAATAATGCTGATTTTGTCACCATACCGGTCCCTGGCTTCTCTATTTAATGTGTCCCGGTAAATTCCAGATCCTTTTCGGGATTTTTACATCTTTTTTCTCTCTACTGCTACGTCTCTTCTTTCAACAACGTTGTATCAGAGCTATGTTTACGTTCGCGTAGCCCTCAATATGGCCGCCATGTCCCACAATGCAACGCGGATCCCAAGCCCTATAGCTCTGCCCTGCTTAAAAATTAGTATAAAATAAATTCTCTGTCAATTCTATTCATTTAGCCAGAAGAACTAATGTTAGTAATCTTAAATCTGATTGACTGCCACCAACAGGAAGGGTGGTCAGATTGTTTATATAGGAATAAAACTGCAAAGTTTAAACTATCTTTGAAGCTGGGCGGTTACCTTAAGAGTCCCGATATCTTCAGTTCGAACCACAAATTCATCTCGCTCACGAAAGATTCCCTCTCCTCCACTTTCACTGTCCTCCTCTTCGCTCTCCCCAGCAATGGCGGCGTCAGCCTGCTTCTTTGCCAGGTGCAGAGAGGTGAGGCGCTGCGAGGTCTCCTCTGGGGTCGGAGGTGACGGTGGCTCGGAGGAAGACGAGGAAGCAGACGGTGAAGAAGGCCCCCCAGCTTCCAAATCCTGGTCCTGATCAGAGGACGAAGGGGGCGGTGTGGTGGAAGGAGGTGGAATGGAGCGGGGGAGGCTGGAGAGCGGGGATGATAGGATGGCTGGGGGGGAGGTGGAGGGCGGTGGGGAGGTGCCTGCAGTGGAAGCCTGGTGATATGATAACGGCTGGGCCTCCGCAGTCCAGTATTTACGGTTGGCTTCATCCTCGCCCTGCTGGATGGGCAGCGATGAGGTGGTGAACAAACTTAAGGAGGGGAGGGATGAGGCTGTGGAATAGGTGGGGGGTGAGGCTGAGACCGAGTGGGGCTGAGATGGGGATGTGGGGGCGAGCACTGGTTCTGATGGAGGATCTGAAAAACAAGATTTTCCAGTGAAAAGCAAACCTTAATATTAAACATTAAGCGGAGCCACTATGGCCCGCCCCATTCATCCAGGGTCTGTGCTGCTGGCTGTTACCATGGAGATCTGAGAGAGCAGGGAATTTATTTTCCAAAGTTTTGCAGCAGCACTGCACACTGATGGCAGGTATCAACTCTATGAGTAGGAGAAAGGAACCTTATCGGCTCATGTGAAATAAAACAACTTGGAGGCACAGATACAGTGGAACATCTAGATCAATCAAACTGTAGCCGTCAATCAAGGTTATTTAATTCATTTTTCACTTAGTAACAGCCACAGACCCTGGATTCACAAAAATGCTGTTTAGGAGATAATTTGTTTCTTTTATTAAAGAGTCGCCAGCAGACGTTCTCCATGAAGCAAAACAGAAGGAAAACTTTCCTAATCCTAACTTCAATGAGAAGAAAGACGGGACAGAGGAATGGCTGCAGACCTGTTTACCGGAAATGGTAGCACCTCACAGGGGTATGATTGCACTCAAAATCTATTTTAAAATCTGCAAGTAACACATTCTAAAACCCAACTCATCAAATACTGAATCTTGGTCAAAGTCTCCTGCCCATCAGTATGTGACGCACCAGGGTCCCCTTCTCGTCACACATTGAGGCGCAGGGTAGCTGAAAGGTGACGGACATTGTTTCAGGTGAGGATGCTAACGTATGGTAGCTTTAGGAGTCTGCGGTAAAAATTATATCAGTGTTTCTTCAAGGTAAAGGAATCAGGCTTCTGGTAAAGGATGGGTTAGTGGCAGTGGTTAGTGTTGGCGCTAGCCTCCAGGGTCTGTCCGGTGGG